ACGAAATGTTTCCTCTGCATTTAACCCATATGTGATATCGTGACATAGCAGGGGGCAGCTAATTCAGCCCCATATGTGATATCGTGACATAGCAGGGGGCAGCTAATTCAGCCCCATATGTGATATCGTGACATAGCAGGGGGCAGCTAATTCAGCGCCCAGGGAGCCATGATAGGGGCGGTACCTTGCACTAGGCACACCAGTGGTACTTTGCTGATCAGGGATTCGAACAAGCACCACAAAATGCTTTTTTAAAATTAAATGGAAGTATAATCCTTCTGCTACTGAGCACCATGGCTATTAAAATTTAACAGATTAACAATCGTTCTATCCACCACTTTGCCAAGGTGAAGCTAATATGACTGGAGGTTTCCTGGCCGCCTGATGACGGTGTGTCACTAGGTCCTAGCCCCGTGTAATGCCCCAGTACTGATGAACACTGCTGCCCCACCTTCATAGCCACTGGGGCTTACATTCACCAGGAGGGGACAGTCTCACCATCGTTAATGACGCCCACCTGTGTTTCAGGAAACCCCCCCCGGGCGTGTAACTGCTGCCCATGCTCACCGAGGTCTCAGCGCTGTGGTTGTTGAAAAGGACCCTGGCAAATGGGTCAGAAGTTCCGGAAATATCTCGTGGAGCCAGGTCCCTGGAGGGCAGAGGGAGGGGTGCACAGAGGATGGTCCTGATTGGTGATTTCTCTGAACAGGCTTCCTGTGTCATGATCCTAACCCCCTAACCTTAACCTTAACCACTGCCCAGGTACTGCTACCCAATCACCACTGCCCAATTACTGCTGCCCAGTCACCAATACCTAATCAAGTAGCACTGCCCAACCAATCACTGCAGCCCAGTCACTGCTGCCCAATCAGTTACCACTGCCTAAATCACAACTTTCCAGCCACCTCCACCCAGTCCCATTCTAGATGAAGGGATCTCAAAGAAATTCCAAAGGAATGTGGTTTGTCACTTTATCAGAGTTGAGCCGCCCCCCTGTCACCACCCTGCTGCTCCCCTTGCTGCCCCCCTGCGGCCCCACAAACACTGCAAGCCCTCTGGATAGCCCTGCTGACAGGTTATAAAGCACACTGCAATCCAGACACACACCTTCATACCACACAGACTGTCAGAGGCAAGCAAGGACAGTGAGGGGGCAGCATTTTCCACAATCCCTGGCCTTTCTGTGGGTGTAGGGGGCGCTGCTGAGCATGTGTGCTGCAGGAGGTCTGGCGTCTGTGATGGTGAATGGGGGGGGTGGGGTGGTTCAGCCGTTCTCTGTTTTAATGCCAGCAATCATGGGGGACCGCTTGCCAGAGTTTAGATCGACTGTGTTTCAGTCTCTGGAGGATCTGGGCTACTGCTGATGTGAGCTGAGCTGACTTCTGGTACCATTCTGCAGTTCTACCCTTATGCTGTTTCTTACAGGGTGTATTCTTCACACAAGGTAGTCACTGAGTCCCTGTCAGGATGTGAGCCTGCAACCTAGGAGTATACACTATATAAATTCAAATTCATTTGATGAATCTATAACGAGAACCTACATGTTGTGCTAACATCTCTTTCAATTAAAAGTTGTTCACTAATAGAACAACTGAATTTGAATATTTCAAATAATTTAGAAAATTAAGAAATGTATAGAAAACATGGTAATAAAACTTTGAATACTTCACAATTGTCACTGATAGGCTGGCACTAAATAGCTCCAATAGCGGCCCTCACGGCGGTAGCTCCATAGCTCCAATAGCAGCCCTCACAGCAGTAGCTTCATAGCTCCAATAGCGTCATTCATAGCAGTAGCTCTATAGCTCCAATAGCGTCATTCATAGCGGTAGCTCCATAGCTCCAATAGCGGCCCTCACAGCAGTAGCTCCATAGCTCCAATAGCGTCATTCATAGCGGTAGCTCCATAGCTCCAATAGCGGCCCTCACGGCGGTAGCTTCATAGCTCCAATAGCGGCCCTCACGGCGGTAGCTCCATAGCTCCAATAGCGTCATTCATAGCGGTAGCTCCATAGCTCCAATAGCGTCATTCATAGCGGTAGCTCCATAGCTCCAATAGTGCCCTTCATAGCAGTAGCTCCTTAGCTTCAATAGCGTCTTTCATAGCGGTAGCTCCATAGCTCCAATAGCAGCCCTCATAGCGGTAGCTCCAGAGCTCCAATAACGGCCTTCATAGCGGTAGCTCCATAGCGCTGTTGCTGATCATTGTGGCCCAGGTTAGAAGATCTGGGACTGTGCATGGTTTCCATGCTGCCCCAGTCATTATCAGCTCAGCCTGCTGGATGGATCTCCAAGCTTAACTTACACATCCATCCATCCATCCATCCATCCACTCATCCATGCTCACTATTGCGGTTGGTGAGCCTGGAGTCTGGTCAAGGACACTCATGCTACTGGCACTTCAGAGACACCACTTCATTCACTGACGTGTTTTTATACTGGGGCAGCCCATGTGAACACACAAACTGAACATACAGAGCGAAGATACGACATACCAACTCCACACATACAGTGCTGGCTGTGGGAATGAAGCCCACGCTACACGTTTATGACATTTTGAGGGGGGCCCGGGGGGGCCACGACTGACCTGGCCTCGATGACATCACAGCGCAGGAGGGGCCTCTGGCCGGTTGTCTGCAGCTCCAGGCTGAGGTGGACGTCGCCCTGCACCTCCTCGTCCGGCTCGACCCGCCGCAGGCTCAGCCAGCCGTCCAGTCCTGGCGAGATCATGCGTTTTACACGAAGGGAGAGAACTGCAGATGCAGCGGAGGGCGAGCAGAGAGGTAGCCAGCGGGCACACATGAACACAACACAATGAAGTGTGTGTACATGCCTGTGTACATACTTGTTGCCCATTGCTAATATATGGAAGCATATTGAGCAGGGCTGAGTTATTTCCCAAGAAAAAAGCGCTGTGATATGGCAGCCAGTTATTCTGGAGGTCACACCTTCACCCGCATGAAAAGGCAGCTAAATACCTTTGGACTGGGACGCAATGGCCTCTTTGCTCAGCGAGATCTTCCCGATGACATCATCGTGGCTTTGAGGGGAAAAGGGAGAGTCAGTCAGAAAAAGACACTAAAGATGTATGAGTAAAGCAGCAAGGCCAGTTCAGAGCAAAGATGTATGCAGAGAGGTAATGTGCCACATCAGGGCCGACACACAAACATAACGTGCCACCAGAGATGCTCCCCACACAAGTGTTTGGCTCTCAGAGAAGCACGGAAACGTCCAGAGAAGGATGCGCAGGCGACAGTGCAGTGGTCTGCAGGCTGCACTAGCATGGAACCCTGTCATCATATTCACACAGCAGGAAATGATCAGGACTGTCAAAGGCAGTGAAGTATTACATAACCAGCACAGCTGTTGGGACAGGCCACCACTGGGCTGCATTAGTGGCCGTGCTACAAAGCGTCTCACTCAGGTTGGGAGCACCATCATGAAATTTTCTGGTTCAGCTTCTAGCGAATTTCACTGTAATTACGATCTTGAGATAAAACTGACGGCAAGTTCATGAATATGACAAGGCATGGACCTACCCAATGGTGTCTTCATCCATGACGTAGAGGGAGAGCGTGTGGAAGCCCATGGGGAGGTGCAGGGTGTACTCCTCTCCCCAGAATGGGTTCAGATTCTTCCACACCGTGGCTGTCCTGTAGGGGGCACCCCACAAGGGAAACCATAAGGCTTCATCACTGGGACAGAGCATTACATAATTACATAGCATTCAGAAAGAAATACATGGAGGTCTAATGGGCTATTCCATCATATTTAGTAAAAGGGGATTTACAAAAAAAAAAAATAGAAAATTAGGCAGACACTTTCATCCAAAGCAGTTGGGGATTAAGGGCCTTGCTCAGAAGCCCAACAGTGAAATCACTCTGCTGAGCCTGGGATTTGAACCGCCAACCTTCCAACCACAGGCACAGCATCATTGCCTGCTGAGGCACTCACCACCCTCTGAGTTATTCTTTAGCCCTCCATAGGCTCAAAATCCCCATATTGGGATAGGCAATCCCAGTGCTACACCATCCCGGTACCCCCACAAAGTCCAGATAGCGTGCAGGGCAGCATTGAGCCCTCCATGGATGCTGGGCCCGAAGTGCCTACCGTCCTTCTCTGACTGCCGAGGTACTCACCCCAGGTCCTGGAGATGATTGTTCTAAGTAGGCTAGGGATTGGTACAGAGCCAGGCGGTCGCGATGCAGCATGACAGTCTTGTGCTGCCCTGGCATCCACACCCTGTTCATCACTCCATCACCACCCCGGGCCCGATCCCAAGCCACCAGCACTCCCAGCCGAACACCTGCACATCAGATTTCTCCCCTGGTCATTATGCAGCTCCTCCAGGAGCTTTGCCACTGTGGTGGAGCTATGGTCGGGAACCATGTACTGCGCAAAGTAGTCCACACCCAAAAGTATGTAGTGGTTCGTGACCTCAGTGTGGGGAAAGGGAACCAGAATGTCCACCGCCTCACGCTCCATGGAGGTTCCTACCAGATATGGCTGTAGGGGAGCCTGGGACTGCTGGCTGGGGCTCTTCCGAGCTGTGCATGCGTCACAGCAGTGCACACACAGCTTGGCGCCTTTCCAGCAGCTGGGCCAGTAGAAGCGCTGCTGCAGCTTCCATCAGGCTTCCTTCACCCCGAAGTGCCCTGCGCCCCACCAAGTTGAGAATGGTGCATGGAGCTGTGGGGGGCAGGGCACTTTGGGGTGAAGGAAGCCTGGGGGAAGCTGCAGCAGCACTCCCCTGCACCATCCAGCGATCACCAACGGCTTGCTGATGCTGATGATGTGCTTTACAAAGTGACGGTAATATGACGCTAGCCCCAGGAAGCTGTGCAGCTCCAACACAGTTCGCTTGGCAGACCAATCTCACACAGCTTGCAGTCTTTTCTGGGTTGGTGGCCACACCCTCCCGCTGATGACATGGCGCAGGAAGCTCATCTTTCACTGGAGGAGTGAACACTTCCAGGGGTTCGGTCCCAAACCTTCCCAGCAGATCACCGCAAACACTGTCTTTAGGTTCAGCACTGCCCAGGTGAAATCAGACGTGGATCAGCAGATCATCGAGGTAGATGGATCTGGGTCTGGAGGATGTGCACCAGGACGTGCTCCATCAACCTCTTGAAGTAGTCAGGAAGTTATACAAGCTAAATGGCATCAACTGGAAGTGTCCATGTGCAATAGTGAATGTGGTCTTAGGACAGGCTTCTGGGGCCAGGTTGACCTGCCAATAGTTACACCAGTGGTCCTGCGAGCTGGTCCCCATCCACCTGGTAATGTACCCCAGCGCATCATCCATGCATTGCAGCAGACAGGAGCCCTTTTTTGTCACCACGTTCAGAAATCAGAAATCTTTTTATTCACCAAGTACAGAGAAGTACAAGAAATTTCTTTTGGTGCGGGTGATGTCATGACATAAGCAAATTAAACATACAACTAAACATGTAAAAGTAAAGATACAAGGAAAAAAAAATACAGTAAGACAAAAAATAAGTATTGTACAGTAGATGTGCAATGGTGAGGTAAGCATGTAGACAAATAAAGATATAAATAGATAAAAGGATAGATGTAATGTGCAAACAGCTTGGGTTTGGTGGAAACGAGTTCTATAAGTTAATGAAGCTTGTGCAGTGGTTGGTTAGAATATGAGACAGCTTCTCATGGGTCCTTATTTAAAAAGGCGATGGCCTGGGGGCAGAAGCTGTTAAGGTGACAGTTTGTCCTTAGATGGATGTAATGCACAAACAGCTTGGGTTTGGTGCAAACAAATTCCGAAGTTAATGAAGCTTGTGCGGCAGGTGATTAGAGTATGAGACAGTATCTCATGAGGCCTTATTTATAAGGGTGATGGCCTGGGGGCAAAAGCTGTTAAGGTGACGGTTTGTCCTTGTGCTCAGGGCTCTTATTCTCCGCTTTCACTGAGATGAAAGATGCTGGAAAGGGAGGGACCAGGATACAGGGGGTCAGAACAGTATCTTTTTGGCTCTGTTCATCATCCTAGATGAGTACAGGGCTTCATTAAAGGGGGGCATCACACTATGCGCTGTAGTCTCCTTTCAGAAGGTGATGCTGCAGTTCCAAACCAGACACAGACGGAGGATGTAATAATTGATTCTACTGCATTTGTGTAGAACTCAGCCATGAACTTCTGCGACAGTTTAAATTTCTTTAACTGAGGCAAGAAGTACAGTCACTGTTGGGCCTTCTTAGTGATGGAGGTGATGTTTGTGTCCCATTGTGTCTTCTTGGAAATTAGGATGGCCTGAGCTGCCCACTGGCTGTTGGACAGCTCGGTGAGTCCCGCTGCTGCCATCTCTCAGATCTGCTGTTCTGCTTCTTGCTGCTTTGCCAGGGCCAGCCAGTGCAGACGCAGATAGATGGGCAGGGCGTCTCCTGTGTTAATGTTGTGATGTCACAGGCTCAGCAGTCTTCGGATGGGCAGCAGAGATGTCCTGGAACAAGCTCAGCAGAGCCTTGAGTTCATCTTGTTGCTCTGCCATTAAGTCCTGACTTAAGCTCCTGGACATCCTGCACTGTCTTGGGAGATGGTGCCGTTGTGGTTCCGCTGTTCCCCTGGTCTGGGCTGTAGTTGCGGCTATGTCACTGGCAGAGACCTTCCCTTGATATCTGCGAGTTGCACTCTTCTCCTGCTACACGGGTGCCTCTCATCCTCATTTCCTCTACCTTTGTTGCCGGCTGCCACTGTTGTGCTAGAGGACCACCACGTCTGTACTGATGTGGAGGGCTGTCTTTGGCACATCAATGATGGCCCCAAGGTGGACTAAGAAGTCTAAGCTAATGATGCAGAGGTTGGCGATGTAGGCCAGCCAGACCTCCTGCACCACCGTGTGTCCTGCCAACATGACTCCCAACTGCCTTTTCCTCCTCATAACCATGCTCAGGCCCGACACTGAGGTCAGCTGGATGTTTATCACCTCCCAGCCGGCCGGCGCAGCTCTGTCAGTGCCTGACAGCATGACAGGGAGGATCAGGGTGGTCTCAATGGGGGCATGCCACTGTCCACCAGACAGTCGACAAACAGGCCACAGGCCTTGCCAAGCTGGCCCACTCTGGGTGCAGCTGCAGGAATTCGACTGAACTGCATTATGGGTGGCACCATCCGCCCAGCATTTGTTAGTTGCTTTTCAAAGTGAGAGCATGGTACTGGAGTGCGGCAGTTTCCAATGATGTGTCCCAGCTCCTTGCAGTGGAGACAGACTGTGCGACACAGGGGAGAAGGTTGCTGGTGAGGTACAGTAGTTGTGGCACGCACATCTACACTCATCTCTTCCTCGGCAGTCTCCACGGCGCCGGTCACCAAGCTGTTCCTTCATCTTCCCCTCAGACTGTCCCCGGCCAAACTGCCATTCCAGCATGGTGGTTCCCCAGGAGAGAGGCTTAGGAGTGCCCTCAGCGCCTTTCCTTCCAACATCGCCAGGTGGCCTGCCATCTCTATGAAGGACCAACCATTGAGCCACATCGCCAGTTGGACCTGGACGAGGTAGGTTTCCAGAGTCCCTTTCCATCCTAGAAGAGCTGTTTTAGGGGGGTCTTTGTCAGAATCAACTGTGTCCCCATGTCATGCCGTTCCAGGTCGCGGTGCCGTCGCTTGGGGAGGTGGAGGGCACGAGCACAGTCGTGTCACCCTGGGAAGGAATATTGCTCGGTTTCTGGGGGACCCTTCAGGTTCACTGCAGCAGTGGGTTCACAGTCTGCCTGCTGAGCACTTCCACCTTCATTCCCACTTCTGACACCAATGTGGCGCAGCTACCAAACATGGTGATCGCCAGCAAATTAATGACATGGAGTCAATGTACGGGAAAACACACACGTCACTCTTAGAACTCACACACTGCCCACTGCGCCGGCTGCCTCAACTACTCATACAGCACACGGTAGCCAAACATACATCACTATTTACAACAATTAACATTGAACAATTCACATGACATTAATGTACAGCACAATAACCACACATTACATGCTAATTAATTAATTGTGGTTCTAGATCTTCCTTAATCATGTTCATTATATCCACATTGATCGTTGCTGTCACATGTAGCACAATACAGAAGAACAATGCCAACATGGGCAGGATATTGTTAAAGCCAAACTGTGGAAAACTCCCCCAAGATGCACACCAGTAACTGAGCCACTCAGATATGGAATCGTAACCTTGATGCATATTATTTTTCATGCACTAAGGTGTACATGGTAGTTTGTTTTTCTTGTTTTTATTTAGTACATGCCTTCAGCAGTGGTAGCCTAATGGTTAGGGAAGTGCACTTGTAATCAAATGATTGCTGGTTTGAATCCCTGACAGCAAAGTACCCCTGAGTACCTGAGCAAGGTACGGCCCCCAAGCACTGCTCTCTGGGTTCTGAATTAGCTGCCCCCTGCTATGTCATGATGTCACATATGGGTTAAATGCACAGGATACATTTTGTTGTGCTGTGGTGTGTCAACAACGACAACAAATCACTTTTCACTTCATAGCATATGCCACCATGAAAGAGGAAAAGTGCCTGGGAGCACAAATTTAATGGTCCAGTGAGCATCTCCCAATGCCGCCCTGACGCAGCACTGGCACGGCTGTAGGCTGGATCATAAGCCCTCCAGTGAGGATCTCCCAATGCTGCCCTGACGCAGCACTGGCACGGCTGTAGGCTGGATCATAAGCCCTCCAGTGAGGATCTCCCAATGCTGCCCTGACGCAGCACTGGCATGGCTGTAGGCTGGATCATAAGCCCTCCAGTGATCAAAAGCCCTCCCCACCACCTCCCACTGTAGCTCACGACATGTACCTGCAGCCACCCCCACTATCATGCCTGCCAGTCCACCTCATCCCTCTATCTCTGCCTCTCTCTCTCCCTCCTCTCCCTGACAGAAGCTGCCTTGTAATAATTTATGCACCTCTCCATGGTTACCCACTGGTGTCTTTAAACTCTATGGCTGGATCAGATTCTGAGCTCTCAGAAGCTCACAAGGATCACACATTTTACAGCCCCCCCTCCACACACACACACACACACACACACACACACACACACACACAAAGTGTCTCCCCCATCTCGGTCCCCCTGGTCCGCGGCAAACACGGTAACATCTGAAACCTCTGCCGCCCGCACACGCCACCCAGTGTGCGGGCGGCGTACGGTGTAATCTGTCCTATTGCCCCGCCCGACGCGGTGGTGTCTGTGTCCGACTCACTCCCCCCAAGCCTTCTCTGCCGCGATATAACTATTAACTGAAGAAAATATGATGGAGCAATACGATTCCACACGACGTAATGCAAAGGAGGAGGAAATGCACAGCAAACAAAGCTGCGCTGCTCTCAGTGAGTCAGAAGGCAACCTCATGGGACCGTACAGGTTCTATACAAGTAAAGCTTTAGTATCAGAAGCCACGCTCAAGCCATTTATTACTAATTAACCTATACACCATAAATTTAACTTACAAAAGGAAGTACAGTAGTTTTGCGCCATAGAAACCTACCGGGCGACGATCTCGCTGTCAACTTTTACAATACAGTATGGGTCACTGGTTCCGGAGCTATTTGAAAGAGAAAAGGAGAACTTCATTAGGCATGCGTTAAATCCATCTGGAAATACACGATATATTTTATAATTTACTACAGAATTCTTCGATTTACTTTCTTTGAGTTTACAGCTTTGCAGTTTACAATGGCTTATCTTACAAACATTACTCTGTTACATTACAATTATAATATGTACACTAAGAAACGAAAAAAAAAACAAAAATCGCACATTTCTGTTCAAACCTAAATCTTATTCAGAGGGTTTTACAAACAAAGCATAAGCAATCAGTGCGTGCCTCATTTAAGAATTTAAAATCAGGGTTCTAGAGAACCGTAAATTAACGCCCATAACTGTATATGAATGTATTCAATATGACAGCTCTTTAGTTTTATTAAATGCTTTTGTCGTTTTTATTCTACATCGTACAGTACTGACTGCAAATCACCGGTGCCAGTTTAATAGGTAAAGTTGCGATATCTCTAAAACTTACACATCCTTGGCAGGCAGATTCCGTCCTTCCACAATGCGAAAATAAAGAGACGTGTTTTTCGCCATTTTCGCCGCTTTTCTAGATTCTTAAAACGCTCGCCGTTAGCCTGTGTTCTCGAAAATGATGCGCCTGTTTCCTGTCACATCCGACGCAAACCGGCATGTGCATCCATACCTCCGTTCTTAAATATTGCAGTAAGTACCTACGTTTGAAGCATACGCTTTTATTGACACATTAACACGATATGATATTTTATAGACAAGAGGAATATGTGACAGTCCCCCGAGGAGCTGCGGCTCTGCATGACAGCATCACCCCAAGCCCATGAACTCCTAGTGAACAACAAGCGGACTGAAATCAACACCGCCGATTTCTTGACACTCCGTCATACTTTTATAGCAAGGCAGTCGTCTTAAAAGAAAGCAACTGGGAATATAAAACATAAAGATAAATATCAATGAAGAGAAAAAGCTGCTGCTCCGGTGCATATCAGTCTTTGGCTGAAATGACAGCCCCGAAAATGCCTCCGTGCAGCCGAGGGAGGTAGGGGGTGTGAATACCACCCAGCTAATACTGGCTATGGATACAGTGGTGTTAGGGCGCCATCTGGCGTGGAGACGCATCCCTTACAAACTCACGTTCCCCCTGCGGAAATCACCACCCCCCCTTCGTGTTTTTCATACGTGTACCATTCGTATGCATGTTAATAGTCTAAAATTACTACTTTTTGACATGTGAATTGTCACCAAATATTGTAGATTTGCTATAAAAGCATATTAATTAAGGTGATAAAACCGCACCGGCACGCAGGTGGACAGCACAGTTTGGGGTCTTCCGTCTGCTTAGCGCGTCGGTGTCGCAGACTTGAAGTTCTTTCTCAGCTCGTAGGTTGTTTTCCGAATTTCTCTAAATCGATCCGTAAGTCCATCACAGTTGTAATTATTTAAATGATTCCTTAAAGCAACTTCTTGGTTTTTATTGTAACTTCGCGATTCTGGTAAATCTCCCGCTGTGGTTAACACGCTACATCGCCCTCTCGTAACTGAAACTCTATATTACAATATGTTAGAAATTCCTTGCAGACACTAAATTAATTTGTATTGTCATTGTGTTTCATTTTTTGAAGAACTTTCCCGGGTTCATAGCAGATTCTTACTGACCTGTGTGTGAGCTAAACTGTGTTTATAAATTAATGGAGACGTACTCCGGTGCCTATGGCGAGCAGACTGACTCGGCGAAGCAGCAGGAGAGACATTACTACCTCCTGTCTGAGCTCCAGACGCTTGTAAAAGACTTGGCCAGGTGAAAGCGGATCGAGTTCACTGTGTTTTTCTGTAAAGCAGTCCTCAGTTGTAGCCTTGGTTTTAATGTGCATAGATACACGGTGTTACCGTGGCGTCTGTACCTGGTCAATATAAAACAGGACGGCAGCAGCTAGTAGTGCATGTGCACGATTTAAAAATATCTTTGTACAAACTACAAAGTGCAGCCGTGAGGCTCTCTAGCTTAGTGTGTGTCGTGCCCCCCCCCAGCTCTTTCCAGCAGCGCCTGTCGCACACCACCCTGAGTGACCTGGCCCTTGCGCTCATCGATGGCACCGTGTACGAAATCGTCCAGGGGCTGCTTGAGATTCAGCACCTAACGGAGAGGAACTTGTACAATCAGAGACAGAAGCTGCATAGTGAACACAGAGGTGGGTAAGAAGCAGAAAGCGCCATATTGTTTAACAAGCTGAGCTTGATTCCCAATGAATAAATGTTACATTTATATAGTGCTTTTCAAAACAACCAAATTGATTTGCAGAATCAATGGGGAGCCACTTCAACCACCACTACTGTGTAGCCCCCACCTGGATGATGCAACGGCAGGCTTTCTGTGCCAGTACGCTCACCATACAGTAGCTAAGCTGGTGAAGGGGCATGGAGGGAATTCACTAGGCAAAAATAGGAGATCTAAAATGGCCACAGTGGGCAATTTTAGCCAGAACATCGGGGTAGCACTCCTACTCTTTGAAACATGCCCATTGCACTGGGGCATTGGGATCCACACAGACCACAGGATGGGCTAACCTCTTGGCCACACCAGCGCCTCTTCCAGCAGCAACCCAGCTTTCCTAGTGGGTCTCCCACCCAAGTACTGGCCAGACCCAAACCTGCTTAGCTTCAGTTGGATTACCTGGTCTCCACTGCACATTATATGGCTGCTGACAGTCGTCCGTCCGTCCGTCCGGATTCAGAGCCTATCCTGGAAGCTTGCCAGTGGTATTGAAAAATTGGTTAGTGGTACACTGGTGGCTCATTTTCACATTACCCATCTTGCTCTCAGTAAGAGACAAACCAAGGGTCAGCCAACTGGAGCAGGTGTTCTGTAAGTCCTTGTCCAAGGGCCCAGTGATGATATAATTACTCTGACCCCATGAACTACACGTCACCCCCTCCATACACACAGAGTGATATGATAAATTTATAAGCTTGACTAAACTTCTGAACATGAATTGGTACATGGTGGAAAAATAATCCAGTATCTTCAGAAGCATGCTGTGGATTAAATGTTTATATAGTTATTCGTGTTAATCTTCTTCTTCAGTGCTATTGATTGGTTTTGCAGGTGTTAAGCTACTTGTGATTTGCCATCTTCTTGTATCTGATTATCTCTGCAGTCCATCTCTCACTTGTGTATTAAATCAGACTGTTCTTTTTCTGTTTTATTTTTTCTCGCAGCTCTCAAACAGGAGCTTGTTCGCAAGCACAAGGAAGCACTACAGGCCTGCAAATCCCACAACCTGGCAGTTCTGAGGATGAACCAGCAGGCGGAGACAGAGGTCAGCAACTGGTTGTTGTGATTGTGGAACAAGGATGTAGGTAAAACACGGTACCATCCATCCATCCATCCATCTCCCTGTTGGGGTTTTCCCTCCATTTCCAGTTACCTGAAGTATATTCTTATGCATGCACCTGTATTGGATACGCATGTGCATATTAAACAACCGCTGCCCCCCGCTCCCAGAAGAACACCCTTATCCTATATCTTTCTTCAGTTCAGCCAAATGTTGCTCATGTTTTTGGTTGATTCGAGCTCTTGTGCTGGTCACAGTTGTGTCTCTCTGCAGATGGACTGAGTGCCATTGCTCTCCATCCTGAATAAAACGCTGCACATGCACACGCTGTCCATTAACCGTAATTAGCTGCCCAAATCGTACAATTTAACCCTCTCCACCCTACAGGCCTTGGAGCAGCGTGTGAAGGAGGAGCAAAGCATGATGGATGAGAAGATTGTAGTGGAGCTGGACCAGAAGGTGGTGGACCAGCAGACGACACTAGAGAAGGCAGGGGTTCCAGGCTTCTACCGGACCACCAACTCCCAGGTTCCTCCCAGCCACTTCCTTCCCATGGAGCCCGGCAGACTGCACTCTTACTCTTACCCTCTGTATTATTCATGAGTTATGTGGGAGGAATGAGACACTGCCTCATACCTCTGGGACCAGTGTTCAGTTCACCCCAGGGATCCGTGTGTGGAGTTTGCATGTTCTCCCCACGTTGTGGGGGGTACTCTTGCTCCCCCCCGCAGTCCAAAAACATGCTGAGGCTAATTGTTGTCATATTGCCCGTTGGTGTGCATGTGTGAGTGGATGGTGTGTGTGTGAGCCCTGAGATGGGCACCCCATCCTGAGTTGTTCCCTGCCTTGCACCCATAGCCTCTGGGATAGGCTCTGAACCCCCACGACCTTGCATAGAAGAAGTGGGTACAGAAGATGGATAGATGGATGAGATCACGGTAAACTAGGATCAGTCCGCCAAGGCCTCTGCATCGGACTGCTGCCCAGTCCACATAGCACTGGACCCTTATGACCTCTACTGCAGGTGGTGGCCCACAGGTGTACGGTCCCATGGGGCTCACTGGGGCTTGGGCAGGCCGCCAGGAGGTCACCAACAAGCTCTCCCCCAGGCCTGGCTACAGGACAGGACACCGGTCTCCCTTTCCCAGCCGGGGTTTCTGGTTCCTTGTTTTTACTTTTTCGTGAATCACTCTTAGCCTGGGTAGTGGGCTCAGCCTTAGAGAGGGTGAGGGGCTCTGACATTCAGCCTTAGAGAGAGGGTGAGGGGCTCTGACATTCAGGAGGGGCTCAAAGTAATGCCGCTGCTCCTCCACATGAAAAGGAGCCAGGTGAGGTGGTTTGGGCATCAGTCTAGGATGCCTGCTGGATGCCTCCCAGGGGAGGTGCTCCAGGCATGTCCAATGGGAGAAGACCCTGGGGCAGACCTAGGACATGCTGGAGAGATGATATCTCTGGGCTGGTCTGGGAACGCCTTGGTATTCCCCCGGAGGAGCTGGAGGAGGTGGCTGGAGAGAGGCAGGTCTAGGCATCTCTACTCAGACTGCTGTCCCTGCGACCCAGACCTGTTAAGTTGCAGGAATTGGATGGATGGCATGAATGAATGTGATACAGCAGTGAAGCCAGTGGATTAAAAAGTTGCTCCATTCTGAAATGTGTATATGCTTATTGTCTGTATGTGTATGTGTGTGTGTCTGTGTGCATTGTGTGTGTGTGGGGGAGGGGGGGGGTGCATGGTAGCTCACTGGTTGATGTAAGCTGGTGTCTCCTCCCCTTGCTGTAGGAACTGACCATGCAGATGAACCTGCTGGAGCTGATTCTCAAGCTGCAGCAGAAGGAGTCTCAGTCTAGGAGCCTTTCCTGAGGGCAGTGTGCCTCTGGGAGAGGGGGGCCCTGGCCAAGCCTGCCACCTACACTCACGTGAACATCACCCCGTGGTGTTCCGCTCTCCTACCGTGATGCTGTAGAAAATCCCATCACAGTCGGTCTTTGAGGGGGACTTTTTGGAGGAAAAGCAGTTAGCAAATGGAGTCTGTCGACCTAATGGGGGTCCTGTCAGCACTACTGAGCGCAAGAATCCTATTTTCTGTGTTTCCTTACCGTATGGTAGCATGAATGTTGGTTTGTGTGTATGACACACTGACGTACGTCACTTTAGTCTGGTTTTTTTTCTGTAATCCTGAGCTGCAACTGAAATTGCTTTATGAGAATAAGAGGCTCTGTTGCCCCATTTCCAAAATGTGTGAAAATCTGATGGTAAATAAACCTGTTAATAGTTCTGTTAATCTGTAGCGTGTTTTGGTGTGTCACATTGTGAAGGAAAGCCATGTGAAAACCAGCATTAACTCCAATGTTTGCTTACCAACCAAGAGCCTTTCTTAATGATATATCTCCTCTGATACTAGGTTCCTGTTTATTTCAGATCAGCAGTCTTTCCATATAGCAGTTAAATGTATAACAGAATTGGATCATTGCAGTGGGCTATAATCGTTAGAAGAATTTTTACAAAATTCCTGGGTCCTGTGCCCTTTGGAGTCTGACTGGATTAAGGGGACAACCCTATTTAGTCTTAGCAACAGAAGGCCTGTGTGTGTGCGGGTTTCTGGGATAACCTTTAGGTCAGCTGTTCAAACCCAGGCACGAGGAGTCTTACAATCAGTCCTCTAGGGCGTTGCAGTGAAATCTGACACACACAGCTGCCTTTTTGGATAAGATTGCTCACCCTTGCTTCAATATGTCACCAGGTAAAACTTGGTATAATTCAAATTTCATATGAAATGGAGATGGTGCTTGCTGCCCCTAAACATGCAGATCATCAACAGAACCAGGACACCAGATCTGTCTAAACTCAGTGGGATAGTCTAATATTCCAACACATCCAATAATGATCCACTGTACTACCAGTCCACTATACTATTTTAGCAAAGACCAGGCAGAAGCAGTTTTGTAGGACCTGACTAACTGTTGAGCAGCACAGAGCTGAAAGGAGAAGCTGGTGTGAATGGAGATGTTGCCATTTGGCATCTAAACGAAGATCAGGAATGGTGCACAGAAAAGCTGAGAAGAACCTGGCAGGGTAACGTGGTAGGCACTTTGAACTTGAGGTCAAAACTCACCATTATTTTCCCCTGAATTCTAACTGGGATCTATGGAGTGTTCTGTTACAACCAGCCTTTTCAAAAGAATGTTTTTTTGGGCTGAATATTTAAATTTAACTTATAAAACGAATAGTTATGCCATTGGGTGCTTGGTGGTCAATACAGTGTACCAAGAATGGCCACAGTGTAAGCTTATTTTAGAGCTAGACGATACGAAGCGCGTGCGTGCTGGTTGTTTTTAGTCAGACATTTCTCGATCAGAAAGGAAATTTTAAACATGACAGAAGAGACAGGGTGCTTCAGTAAGGTGAGATACTCATTATTTTCAGTTTACTGCACGGAAAGTCAAGAATATTACTATGGAAAAGCCATGCCCAGGTCGGAAACACCTTTCTATCGCTGTAAATTCCATAAGCAACCTGCCCAAGCACCTAAGACAGCATGCTCGCACAAAGCATCGAAAATGAAGTTATGAAAGGACTACGACGTTTGTTTTTGTATTTTTATGTAGTAAAATGGGAAGTTTGTAGTTTTACAGAGTAACTCAAAAGTAATAAGTAGTGTTATTACGTTTCAGAAGGATTAACAAGTAAAAGCGTCCTGGTACAATTTAAAGAAATAATTGGTAACTTTAGTAATTTTTTAGTAATCACCCCAAAACTAGTTGTGGCAAATTGATTCCTGTCTGATTGGAAAAGGTTGACGGGCTGTCTGAGTGTACGCCGCCCGTTCGGTGTTATACAGGAGAGAGCTGCACTGCACTGCCTGTCACTAGTGGTGGGCGGATCGATCCAAGTATCGATAATAATGTTGGTATTGATCGATACTAGTTCAATTAGATCGATACTTCAGTTTCAATCTCTCTCCCGAATGCACTGCGGCTGTCTGTGTTCGCGCTGCTGCTCTCAATTGCAGTTCCCGGCTGTCACGTGACTCAGCGGGCCAGGCTAGCAAACAGGCGCAGGCGGGCGGACACACACTATAATATTTATAATAACGTATTATAATAGTGGGAGGCTGAGTCATGCTCGCAATAATTAAACAGCAGGGATAGTTCGGGGTTTAATCATCAGATGGCGTTTATTGCACCCGCACTACTACAACGCACACACCGGCACTGCTCACCGTGCACGTCGCCCCGTTTACTCCTCATACACACGGTTGGCGCACGCACACATACATACATACATACATACATACACACACACACACTCACACTACATACAACAATAAACATTAACCACTATACATGACATAACACACAGCACATTTTTAATCACACAAGGGATTACTGAGAACTATTTACAAGCTGGCATCAGTCCAACATGCCGCGCTCCGGCCGGTACCTCCGCGCTGCAGTATTTATTTACTGTACATATAAACTTTGCCCAAATTCTGTCCTGGGTTTTACCTAATTAATAAAAAAAATCACAAAAACACTTAAAGGTAATGAAAATTAATTCAGTTTTAGCAATTTGATGATGCATCCACCTTAATTATTAAGAAGTATCGATATCGGTATCGTATCGGCGATACTTTCCCTGTATTTACTTGGTATCGCATCAATACCAAATCTTGTAGTATCGCACACCACTACCTGTCACACCTCACTTCCTCTTCATGGATACTCTGGTTCCTCCTACAGTGCAAAAACACAAGATTCAGGTAGTTTCTCAGAATTGCCCCTCGAGTGGCCTGTGATTTGCTGTCCACCAAGGGCCAGGAACTCTATGTGAGACATGTAATGACGACTCACTCAAAGGGGGCGCTGTTGCTCAGCGGCTAACCTTTTATGCCTGTGATCGGTTTGAGCCCCAGCCTCAGCATAATAGTTCGCTGAAGTCCATGGGCTCCCGAACAAGACTCTGTAATGTGACCATCCCAAGCTTGCTCTCACCTGTATATATGTGTATGTATGTCTCACAGAGAACAAGATGTTGTAGGCAAAAAGACAATTTCCCCAGGGGGATTACTAAAACATCACTATTCTATTTTAATAGTAAAAGCTTAAGCACGCGAGGGATGCAGTGTTATACATTTATCTAAATGAACCGATGAAATAACCTGCATTTAATAACGTGAAGCGTTTAACAGACACTCAGGCTTGGGATTAGGGTTAGCCTGAAGCGGGGGCCCTGCAGCTTTAAGAGCGGCTACGCACCCCACCCTCCGTGGATCCTCAACACACCGGAGCGCCGCTCATCCGCCTCGCAGCGCAGCCGGACCGGCGACAGTGGTGTCCGTCTCCTGGGTGGAAAGGTAGCGTCCCCGTTTTCCCGCTTAATACTACCGGTGGACCTTATCAAATGTACCACTGCGTTCTTTTCTTATATTGTAATAGGCTTAAATGAATTAGAAAAACGATGCTTTTTTTCACCAAGGATTTCGCAGCCGCACAATCGTATCTCTCCTTACATTACGAAAGCGGGGATATTATTTAAATACCGGAAAATATCGATGAAAACATGTCAAAACATAATATTTGGAATGATGCAGTATTTCTCGTTAGAAATAGTACAGACGGTGTTTCGTCGGCACAGCAGGCGTTTCCATTTTGTTTTAAATTATAAATGATGCTGTTTTAAATAGCATAAATATTCAGTTCACCCATAGCGCCTCTTCCGTTTATTTCCCTATTACGCACCGGGAAAAGCAGGTGATTTTAACCTTAATTCCTGGCTGGTGTTTGGGGAGGGAGGGGGGGGGGATAATTACGTAATCGTGGCGTGTCTTCGTGGTGCTGCGAGCGCAGGGAATGAGACGAGGCGGTGCGGCGCCGCGGAGCGTCCTGCTCGGGGCCGCGCGGTCCCCCATCTACACTGCCGTCCAGCCAAGGGGGATGGATACACACTCTGCTTTAGTGCTAGTCATTTTGGCAATTTGAAAAAATAGAAACAACTAAAGTAGGATTATTGAATTCGCATACTGGTTTTAGATACGTGGACAAATGTAAAATATTTAGCAGTACCTCTTAAAATATTGCTACTAATACACCCGAATTGATACCGCTGTTGAGGCAGGCAACACAGATGCTACGAGTCACGACCGCCGCTCCACAGTCACTTCCATGTCGTTTTGGTAAATAAGAATCTGGCAAACTAAACAGTTGCAAAATGTCGTTTCAAAAGCCGGCAGACCTTAACAGTCTGGGAACAGGTTTATACTTTGTGTTTTTTGGCTTTCTCGCTGTAACAGTGCTGACCAAAACAGCTGTTCACCCTGGCCAGACAGGTCAAGATCTTTGAATAATGACATCTCTCCCTATCAGCCACGTGGCCTACGAGTGGTGACCCACCTACATCGCACAGGTGGAGGCTGCACTAGTATAGTGGAGAAGCGAGTTCCTCCTAATAAAACTAAGCAGGATCACATTTCGTGATCATTAAACTTCTCCAATAATCTTCTTCAGCACAGATGCCAGTTGTTCCTCCTCCTCTTGCTCAAAACCACATTAAAGAGGGAACTGTTACCTGGCCTGCACTACGAAGCGGGGTTGCAGGCTTATCGGGGTAACTTGTTGGATTTAAGGTACCACAGTTTAAATTGACTTCATATTCGCTCACTTACATTTTGCCCAGACTACCTTAAATCCGACAAGTTACCCCGATAAGCCAGTAATCCCGCTTCGTAGAACAGGCCACAGGTCCCTGGAAGCGAGATCTAGTTAGAGAAATTGGAAGGTGGTTAGAATTGCACTGCCAGTAATTGCTGATGGGCACTTGAGATTATTCATCTGTGGAATACAGTAGCACTCTGTGAATCAGATATCTGTGTTCAGGCCTGTATTTGAAGCTTTCTCACTTGCAGGCTTGGCATATCTGACTGCCTTCTCTGTGGTGAGGCTAGCTGGTGGGTAGCAAGAATGGAAAGATGTTGCGCTGTGGTGTTGTGTCCTGGTTTATCATAGGCTCCCTTGAATCCTCTTGTATCAGTTCATAAGAGCTCAGGCTAGAGATGCTAATGCAAAAAATAAAGTCTGTGATATGTATGACAAAAACAAAGTTAGTTATTTAGTTTCTTGCCAGACAGTTTTATCCTAAGCCGGTTTGATAGTTCAATGAATCACATCAGTATTTGTTCAGGGGACAGTTTTAAAGTCCAGAGGCCCTTGGTACCCCTGTAGTTCCCTGTTGATAGCTTACACTGTCGGTGTGTCACAGGTGCCGTGTCCCCTCAGGTGGGGAATGTGTGTGGCGTGACACCTCGTCTGAAAGCTGCTCCTCATCTCGCATCTCTGTCCCACTGAGGGCCCGCCAGTCCAGGCCACCATCGCCATGGCTACACACACCCCAGGCTGTGCGCCAGCCGTGCGACTCTGTCAGAAGCTCAACCGGCGCAAGACGCTGGAAGCGGACATGATGGCAACGTCGCTGAAGCGCTGCCTCTCCACGGTGGACCTGGCGCTGCTGGGGGTGGGTGGCATGGTGGGCTCGGGGCTTTACGTATTGACGGGCACCGTCGCCAAAGAGACGGCCGGCCCGGCCGTGGTGCTGTCCTTTCTCATCGCCGGGGTGGCCTCGCTCATGGCCGCCCTGTGCTACGCTGAGTTTGGTGCCCGCGTCCCCAAGACTGGCTCTGCTTACATGTTCACCTATGTGTCCGTGGGAGAGATCTGGGCCTTCCTCATCGGCTGGAACGTCATCTTAGAGTACATGATAGGTGGAGCCGCTGTGGCCCGCGCATGGAGCGGCTACCTGGACTCCATCTTCAACCATGCCATCCAGAATTTCACGGAGACCCACATCATGCAGTGGAACGTGCCCTTCATTGCCCACTACCCCGATCTACTGGCTGCTGCCATCCTGCTGCTGGCCACCATCTTCATCTCCTTTGGCGTGCGTGTGTCCTCCTGGCTAAACCACATCTTCTCCACCATCAGCATATGCGTCATCGTCTTCATTCTCATCTTCGGCTTCATGCTGGCCGAGCCTGCAAACTGGAGCCAGAAGGAGGGCGGTTTCGCCCCCTTCGGCCTGTCTGGCATCATGGCGGGCACAGCCACCTGCTTCTATGCCTTTGTCGGATTTGATGTGATTGCCGCCTCTAGCGAGGAAGCCAAGAACCCGCAGCGAGCCGTGCCAGTGGCCACCGCCATCTCCCTGGCCCTGGCGGCCAGTGCCTACATCCTGGTGTCCACCGTGCTCACGCTCTTGGTACCCTGGCATACGCTGGACCCCAACTCTGCCCTGTCTGATGCTTTTTTCCGGCGTGGATACAGCTGGGCTGGTTTCATTGTGGCCATTGGCTCCATCTGTGGTGAGGGTTTGTGTACCTGCCTGCCTGCCCTCTCTCTCCTCCTCTGTCTGCCCGCCCTCTCTCTCCCACTCTGTCTGCCTGCCCTCTCTCTCCCACTCTGTCTGCCTGCCCTCTCTCTCCCACTCTGTCTGCCTGCCCTCTCTCTCCCACTCTGTCTGCCTGC